CACACTCTCGTCAGACAAGAATCCGCCTCAACAGGCTACACTCACCTTCATGGTGAACCATTATATCACTCTCGACAGACAAGATCTGCCTCAATAGGCTACACTCACCCTCATGGCGAACCATTATATCACTCTCGTCAGACAAGAATCCGCCTCAACAGGCTACACTCACCTTCATGGTGAACCATTATATCACTCTCGACAGACAAGAATCCGCCTCAACAGGCTACACTCACCTTCATGGTGAACCATTATATCACACTCGTCAGACAAGAATCCGCCTCAACAGGCTACACTCACCCTCATGGTGAACCATTATATCACTCTCGACAGACAAGAATCCGCCTCAACAGGCTACACTCACCTTCATGGTGAACCATTATATCACTCTCGACAGACAAGAATCCGCCTCAACAGGCTACACTAACCTTCATGGTGAACCATTATATCACTCTCGACAGACAAGAATCCGCCTCAGCAGGCTACACTCACCTTCATGGTGAACCATTATATCACTCTCGTCAGACAAGAATCCGCCTCAACAGGCTACACTCACCTTCATGGTGAACCATTATATCACTCTCGACAGACAAGAATCCGCCTCAACAGGCTACACTCACCTTCATGGTGAACCATTATATCACTCTCGACAGACAAGATCTGCCTCAATAGGCTACACTCACCCTCATGGCGAACCATTATATCACTCTCGTCAGACAAGAATCCGCCTCAACAGGCTACACTCACCTTCATGGTGAACCATTATATCACTCTCGACAGACAAGAATCCGCCTCAACAGGCTACACTCACCTTCATGGTGAACCATTATATCACTCTCGACAGACAAGAATCCGCCTCAACAGGCTACACTCACCTTCATGGTGAACCATTATATCACTCTCGACAGACAAGAATCCGCCTCAACAGGCTACACTCACCTTCATGGTGAACCATTATATCACTCTCGACAGACAAGAATCCGCCTCAACAGGCTACACTCACCTTCATGGTGAACCATTATATCACTCTCGACAGACAAGAATCCGCATCAACAGGCTACACTCACCTTCATGGTGAACCATTATATCACTCTCGACAGACAAGAATCCGCCTCAACAGGCTACACTCACCTTCATGGTGAACCATTATATCACTCTCGACAGACAAGAATCCGCCTCAATAGGCTACACTCACCCTCATGGCGAACCATTATATCACTCTCGTCAGACAAGAATCCGCCTCAACAGGCTACACTCACCTTCATGGTGAACCATTATATCACTCTCGACAGACAAGAATCCGCCTCAACAGGCTACACTCACCTTCATGGCGAACCATTATATCACTCTCGACAGACAAGAATCCGCCTCAATAGGCTACACTCACCCTCATGGCGAACCATTATATCACTCTCGACAGACAAGAATCCGCCTCAACAGGCTACACTCACCTTCATGGCGAACCATTATATCACTCTCGACAGACAAGAATCCGCCTCAACAGGCTACACTCACCTTCATGGTGAACCATATATATCATATATACCCATTGTAAAATCATTGAACAAATCCAGATAAAGACATGTAAATATTTCTTAAAAGTTGGTAAAAATACATGCAACAATATGGTTCTTGGTGAATGTGGCAGATTCCCTCTTCAACTTACTTATATGTCAAGGGCAGTTAAATATTGGTGTAGACTTTTAACTCTTCCAAGTTGTAGATTACCTCATCAGTTTTATTTAATGCTTAAGTCTTTGGATGAATCTGGACGGACGACATGGGCATCTCATATCAAGAATATTGTATTTAGATTTGGCTTTGGCTTTGCTTGGATTTCACAGGATATTGGAGATATTGATGGTTTCATTTCTGTTTTTAAGCAAAGATTGTCTGATAATCTTTCACAAGATTGGTACTCATCCCTACATAGTACAACCAAGTGTTCTAATTATATTCTTTTCAAGTCCCTCCTGAATGTTGAAACTTATCTCAGTTTAGGTATTGCCCCATATTTAAGAAATTGTTTAACAAAATTTAGATGCGGTAAATTTAAACTTAGTTCTGAGACCGGTAGATATAACAATGTCCCTTATTATTCAAGATTCTGTCATTTTTGCTACAAAAATAATCTTAATTTAATTGAAGATGAAATACATGTTTTACTTTATTGTAAAGCCTACTTAGATATAAGGAATAAGTTTCTGGGTAAATATTTGAAACATTCTATTTCACAACACAGTTTTATAAACATAATGACTTCAAAAAACATAAATGTTATAAATAATTTGTGCCTATTTTTATATAATGTTGGGAAAATAAGAGATTCTGATGTTTTTATGTAAAACCAGGGAAAATCTACAACATTATATAGTTTCCCTGGTAAAACGCATGTAACTTTTTATTATATTTATGAATGTATTTTGGGCCAGTGGCCTATTACTGAATAAATGTCTGTCTGTCTGTCTGTCTGTCTGTCTGTCTGTCTGTCATATATATCACTCTCGTCAGACAAGAATTCGCCTCAACAGGCTACACTCACCTTCATGGTGAACCATTATATCACTCTTGTCAGACAAGAATCCGCCTCAATAGCTATCACTCATCTGACAAGAATCCGCCTAAACAGGCTAATACATATCTCATCTGACAAGAATCCGCCCCAACAGTCTAATACATAGCTAATTTGACAAGAATCCGCCTCAACAGGCTATCGCTCCCATCTGACAAGAATCTGTCTTTATGGCCATTTAAAGGTTGTGTCGAAGCAAGTTTGGACATATACGGCCTGTTGCCTGCCTCACTCAACTGTACTGTTAGTGTTTTGTGTCCTATACTAGTGTTTCCGCCGAGCACTGAATCAATGGTTATGGCAGTGTATCCTTTGAGTGTGTGTGGTTGCGCATGTAGGAAATGGCTCAAATCATTTACTAAGTTGGAGAGAAAACTGTCGCGATTTGGTGGTCCAGCTGTTCGTTTAGTACGTGAACTGTATTCATTACCCGTGATTCGTCCTCATGGGCCCAGTAGCGTCACCAATTTCTGCGCTCTATATACTTCATCAAGCAAAAGTGTGGTCTAGTAAGAACAGTTTTTTACATGCATTTCTAAGAACGAGACCCCTGACGAGATCATCATAATGCCAACCATCTTTGGCTACTTGTAGGAACTCACCAAACGGTTCTGATTGTTGCTTCCCGTCTATCAAATCAGTAGCTGTTTTCAACCTAACGATTGTGTTCTGGACATAGCCTTGTAAGAACGTTTTCTTCAACATTATCCCCAGCCAATGTTCCCTCGAGCCAGTGAAATGCCTGTGAGGACAGGTATAAGGGAAATAGTTCTCGTTTATCCTTATCCGAATATCCATGGACATGGCAATAGCGTCCAAATGTCTTTCCCATCCATATCAGCCTCCAAGGTTGAACCGAATGCCGAGCCCAGTAATGTACAGCAATGCAATTCTTCAAAGAGGCAAGAAAATGGCGCCAGTCTGTTAGAGGGACAATGTGTTCATTTTAATTATATATTTGTTGTTGTGGAAACTGTTAATTATTACCTTAGAGACTTGTGCAAGTCTACAACATAATGTGCAGGCTGCTAAGAATGGTACTGCTTTTGTAATTAACTGGGCTAGCTTTCCATTAACAGAATCTCTGGAATGTGTGTTAATGCAATGAGATGGAGGGCTTGCGAGTGGTCGGTGTGTTGAAAATATCAGTGTATAACAGATGGGAGTTGGTTTGAGGAGAAGTGAATGATGACTATTCGAATGATATTAGAGCTACTGCATTTCTGGTCTTAGTGCTAACTGACATAATCGGAGTAGTATAACTAGACTATGGACTGTAAATACGACTAATGCTTGGTCTCTAAATATCTAAAAACTTGACAGAAACAATAATTCCATTTTTTCATTTGACTTGAAAATTGATATGGGAGATTCATGGATATGAGGAAAACAGCCTTGCCTCATCTAAGGCATTAGTATCACGGGACCCTCTATTATCGCGGTGGTTAATGTTGTCGCCATCGGGATTATGAACGCCTACTGACATTTGGCATTTTATATATATTTTCAGTTGATTGATGTTTAATCTTCATTTCTGTCACAAACAATAATGCACATAGTCGCAAATCGTTCGATACGATCGCAGCAATCCCGAATATCTCGTTTTACCCGAAAATTGAAGCAACTCTCTATTATCACGGTATTGCTATTTTCTTTACTATGACACGCGGTACAAGCAAATGACACTGTCAAACGTTTAATAAGACAAGTAAGGAATCTAAATAGTTCTATTATTAGGAATTTCATTCAGATTAGTAATATCATCATGCTTTTAACCAAAACATCTGAAACTTGTATTCATTTGGATACAAGGTAACAATAACCTAACAAAATAATGTTTTGCCGCCTAACGTACCATAAAATTTGCTGCCAGGGTGACGTTGCATTATAAGTCACTTCCTGTTATATTTTTAGAATGGAAAATATGCATATAACCTTATAGTTGTCCCAGGATAACTCATGACGAAGTAAGTTTTGATTCATGCTAGATGTAATGGCAGTAGGGTCATACTAGTTTCAAAATGTTCCAGAACTTACTGAAAGGATGAATACTTCAATATTTCTACGATTAGACGTGACATTCCAATGAAATATATGACTTTTTTAAACGTAATTTGCGTATGTTAACAGCCGATGCGGGGCGTGGTGTTTCTGTCTTCCAGGTGTTTTCACGTGCCGCGATAATAGAGAGCCCGCGATAACAGAGCGTTCCAGTATACTACAGAACCGGCTGAGTGGAAGGGAAAATAATGCTATTCAGCGGTTGTGAGACATACTACATGTATACTAAAAGTGATGGGGCTCTCTTGGTTACATGGAGTAGGATTAATACTAAGACTTTTGTTACAGGTGGATTTTGGTACAGTGATTATTTCAAGGATCTCGTTCTTTTACAACTTGTATTCGATACAATGCGATAATGGCTTACCTAGATGTGTCCGATCCAATGAAATTTTGACACTTTACACAAAAGGGTCCGAATGTCATAATCGGAGTTCTGTTTGGCACTTGGTCCAATCCTGTGGAATTATTGGCACTATACACAAAAGGGTCCGAATGTCACAATAAAAGTTCTTGCTGGCACTTCCTGGTTCGTCACCTTTACCATGGAGTCCTTCACGTCTATTGTCCCACCATGTTAGTACACAGTCTGCCGCCAGTCTCCAGAGTTTTACACGAGTTAGATCATTAGTTACATGCACACCCATTAAGCGTCCCTAATTACTGACATTACCGGTTATGTCAGTGCAATGTATTTTCACCAGTTATAATATACTATCCCAATAAAGAAACGCATAGGTAAAAAATCTGATACGAAAATGGTGTATTTTCAAACATGTATAACTCGTCCACAAATAGACTTTAGTGCATGAATTTTTACATCAGTTTAGAAGAAGGAAATGTCAACCAAGTCGATAATTTTAGAAAAGGTTTGGCCCTAAAAGGCTTCCGTTCTTTTGTCACTGATGCATTAATGTTTGGCATGTCCTCCACATGTCTGCTATAAATCTCCTTGAAAGCTTTGCTGAGGCCATGAATGTTGTAACCTTGACCAAAACAAGAGTTTTATGTCTCTCTTTGAAATCTTGGTAAAAAAAGAGCAGGCTCGATTGTACGTAAAACAAAGTGAGATCTCACCCTTTCTTCAACCCTGAATCTTTATGCATAGATGTAAATATGAAACAGTTGAGGCGATCTCACTTGTCTCCTCAATGTCAACTTTAGATGGGTAAATCAATGGAAGGGAATTGGATGGTTGATGGTTATTGAACGATATTAGACCATAGATAATAACTCTAGCTTAAGTATAACTTCTTGGCCAGATTGTTTTGCCAACCCGAGTAGAAACTCAGATTAATTTGCAGAAAGAAACAGGAGAGGAGGAGCAGAATCGGTTCCCATGGAAATGACTACTTGTTGTCTAATTGCCCTGAACCTCTGAAGAAAGAAACTTAAGTATATCGTTGTACAAAAGAGGAAAGGACATGTCTTCAGGTTTAAGAGTTAAGCCAAACGTTGATATCACCGTGTAATGGTTCAGGTAGATTTCTTCCTCAGTAGCTCAGTAGTTCCTTAGAAGATGACCATGAAGATCCCCTTCGCCCAGAAAAGTCTGTTGCAGTGGGGAGGGACAGGGGATGTTGGGGGTTGAACCAGGCTGGAATTCCTGGCGTCTCTGTTCTTTGTCCCTGATTCGTCTCTCTTCAAAAACAGACACTCCGGAACTCACAAGGGAGCGCCAAACGGCACGGTCCTCAGCATTCGTCACCACTCGCCCCTTTCAGTAAACTCGCTATTCGGCTTGTCCCGGAATAACACGAGTTGGTCACGAATGGGTCCTCAGCGGTCTCCTCTTCCCAGGTGGAATGGGGAATGTCACAATGCTTGAGAGACACATTCAGCGTGTCTTTGTGCATATATAACAAATTTGTGTAATTTATTTTAACGACAAAGAAATACATTGCATCTTTCACAACATTTTAACATGCTTTAGCCAAAGGAAGTGAATATTTAAATAACGTGTATTTTCCAGTGTGTAACATTTATTATTATATTCATATGCATACTTCTCTGTTGTAAATAGGCTTGAAGTGTATAGCACGTTGAACGTCTTGGACACTACGTTTGAACAAATTTGTGAGTGAGTGAGTGAGTGAGTGAGTGAGTGAGTGAGTGAGCTAGGTTTTACGTCGCTTTTAGCAATATCCCAGCAATATCACGGCGGGGAAACACCAGTAATGAGCTTCACACATTGTACCCATGTGGGGAATCGAACTCGGGTCTTCATCGTGACGAGCGAAAGCTTTAACCACTAGGCTACCCCACCACCTTAATTTGCTAAGAAATTACATGTAACATATATTGGCCTTTTTCGGTACCACTGTAGTACACAAATTCCTTTGCAGGGACATTCATATGAAGTCTAATCTTCAATGTTCTAGTGATTTCTGAGTAGTATACAATGTGATGGGTTATGACATAATTCAGGAGCCTAACAATTTAGTATAACTGAAATCAAGATCAAATAAGAAACGGAAACGGCGTTGAGCGCTATTACTTTCCACTCACGTATTAAATGGCATTACATTTTGAAGCAATGGGGCAATGTATTAAATATGAAATACTGAGTTTTTCTTATTAGGACTACCGTTGAAGCATATTGGATGTCGGATTCGAACCCCTTGAATATACCTAACATCGCTGAGAAGCATGGAAAGTTTCAGATTCACCGGCCAGAGCCGCGACCGCATTGGAGAGTATATGAAGAACCATGCAATGAAGGCTAACATTTTAAAAGATCCCACAACCCGCGAACATCAGATCCCAATTGTGTAGATCGATGCTCATGATGTTGATCACTGGATTGTCTGGTCCAGACCCGATTATTTACAGACCTTCGCCATGCAGCTGGGATATTGCTGAGTCAGCGTTAAACAACAAACAAGCACACAAATAAAATATCAAAAACATGAAACATGGCACATACATATGGCAGTGTAATTCCTTGTTAAACAGTGAGGTACACATTGTTTCTGTGAAGATTCACTTTAGGGCAGCGGTGCGCTGGTTACTATATTTTGACGGGGAGTATAGAAGGAAGCTTGTAGAACTATACAGATTAATTCAGCATAGTCTATTTCAGGGCGTTCAACATTCGCGTGTTGAGAGCCACTGCACGACGTAAGTGATTTATAATCAAACGACTGGCACAGCTTACTTGATGTTGGTAAATAAACTAATTAACATCTGTTACTAATATTGTAAAACCTTGGCATTTGACGTACAGGCAAACTTTTCACATATTTGCTTGTTTGTACAGTATGAAAATGTCAATGGCCATTTATCACATTCTACTACAAATATTGACAACCAAGCAAAAGGTAGAAGTATTCAATCGATATGTGGTGATTGTCGGCTGTCGCGGTAGATTTCACATTGATTATCAAAATTCATAAATGCGTCAAAACGTTTCACATTCTTTAGAAGACTCTGCCAAGAGCATATTTATGAGCATGTGTCAATGAATTCCTACACACAGCCCATCCTGCACAAACACATGCAAAGGCAGGTCAATTGGTCACCCGAAAAAGCACGGGAAAATATCGGAAACCAATCAAACCCGGAAACGTCCACTATAAAAGACCTTGAAAGTTCGCCTCTGGCCTCGAATGTGGCAACCTTGATCAAACAACTTCTGAACAAGAGTGTCGCTCTTTGAAATCTTGGTGAAAAAAGCATGCTCGATTGTACCTCAAAAATTGTTGAAAATACTGAAGGACGGGGGTGTTGGAACACCGCTCGATGCATGGGGAAGTTGACTATCGGAAAGTTCAAGTCATCCCACGTCAGAACGTCCTGTCACCCCCCACGCATAGATCTATATTAACCAGAAGGAGCAGTCTCGCTGATCTTATCTATAGTTCGCTCCACTGGGCAAATCAGTGGAAGAGAATTGAACATCAAATCATCGACATAAGCAGAGTCGAAGTTGAACCTCTTGGCCAAATTACTCTAAAAATATTCTCATAAAAAGTTGGGTCATCATTGTTTGGGCCGTAGATATTTGAGAGGGTAAATTTTATTCCATCAATTCTGCAATAATAAAGTTGCCATTAGGATATTTTATTGTTCTATGTATTTTAACTTCAATATTGTTATTAAAAAGAATGGTAATCCCTCTTGCATTAGATCTATAGGGGGCGATAATGCACTCTAATCCCCATTCGTTTCTCATTAGTAGTTCATCTTTTTCAGCAACGTGAATATCTTGCAAACAAATAATTGAGCAACATTTTTTCTCCACATGTTCATTATTTCTCTGTGCTTATTTTTCTCCCCGAGACCCCTTCAGTTTGCCGACACTATTTTAATTTTATTATCCATAGTCATGTTTGACAAAGTCAAAGGTATTTATAACTTTTGATATGTCTATGGCAACATGGTTATTTTTGGAAGTGATTAACGCATAGCATAAAATACCTACAAATGTGGAATTTCTAGTTAATAAACAAAAGTAAAAGAACAAAAAACAAAATGTAAAAAACAAAGAAAAAGCCTGGAGGCGATGTTGGTCAACCTGGATTCACCCTGCCCACATAAGTTAAAAAAGCATTATGCAGTTGTATGTGAAAGTAGATGATATTCGCTGAACACATTGTTACTTATACAACAAAAACCTGGGAGCAGTGACACCCTGTTGTTCAATATAAGTCTACAATGCCCATGGAAGTTGGAAGTTACTTTCACTGAAATTGCATTAGGGAATTAGGGAATCCGTAATATTGAAGATAAGCATCGACTGGTTTCCATTTTGTATAATGCGAGAAAGCAAAGAAACACCATTCAAAGTTCTGAAAACATACATTACAGGAATCAATGTACCTTAAGAACATAAGAGAAGAAAAACCGGTGCCATAAAAGTGAACAGTTGGAAGATAGAATATGCGAAGAAGTTGAAAACGAAATCAGGGGAAACTTTCAAAACATAAAGGAAGAAAAACTAAATGAAATTACAAAAATTCAAGAAGAAATTGAAAAGTTAAGGGGAGAAGTAACTAGAGGGATTCAAATAAGGAACAGAATAAAATGGTATGAGGAAGGTGAAAAGCCTACAAAATACTTCTGTCATTTGGAAAACCGAAATTACACAAGCAAGTTGATTAATCAATTAATAGATGATAAAGGATATTAGATGGTAAAAAAGTCCTAGAAGAACAAAAACAGTTTTATAAAAATCTGTACTCCCAAAAGTGATAGGGCTTCAGACAAGGAAATTCAGGATTTCCTCTCAAAAGTTCCAGTTCCTGCTTTAGATAAACAACAAAGAGACAATTTGGAAAAAGAAATTACATTGGATGAGATTTAAAAAGGAATGAAAAATAACAAAAGCCCCGGGGTAGACGGCTTTCCAATAGAATTTTTAAAGATTTTTTGAAAGAACTAAAGGTTTGGGTGCACAGATTTATCAGTGAATCACTTTATAACGGCTGTTTGAGTTTGAACATTAACAGAGGAATTATAACATGTCTGCCTAAAGGAAACAAGGATAGGTCCTATCTTAAAAATTGGTGACCAATCACCCTTTTAAATTGTCTGTACAAGATTATTAGC